AAAACCAATCACCAAGATTGGAATGGTTGGAAGTCATGATAGTGGAACGTCTACTATTTTACCACAATATGGAATTACTCCTTTCACAATATTTCCCAAGAAACATCGTTCATTCATGAAAAGATGGTCAAAGACTCAACAACTTGGAATTAGAGATCAGTGCATTGCTGGAATTCGATATTTTGATTTCAGAGTTGTTTATAATCATAAATTGAAGAAATTTTATTTACTTCATGGATTATATTGTCAATTACTTGAAACAGCTCTTCGGGATATTACTTGTTTTCTCACAGAACATGATGGTGAAGTTATTATTATAGACATTAATCATTTGTATCAAATTAACTCCTTGAATAATTTTCAATCACTTTGTCTATTGATAGAGGAGTGTTGTTCTAAACATCTTGTACTTAATGACTATAACAAATTCATTATTCCTTTGTCACAACTTGTGCATATCAAACAACGATTGTTTGTGTTTTGCTTAAATCCCTTTAACCAAAAACTTCCTCTCTATCTCTTTCCACAAGACCAGATTGATTCAATTTGGCCAAACAAGAATGAAACACAGAAAATGTTAAAGAGACTTGATTATAACTCAAAGCTTTATCAAAACAACCAAAAACTGACAATCATTCAAGCTGTTGTTACTCCATCTATAAAAAGTATCAGAAAGAGTTATTATACAAAGAAATATCCAAACTCAACTATCAAAATTGCTGAAAAAACAAATCCATTAGTACTTAAATGGCTTCAGACATCATCAGCATTTGTAAACATACTTCTTATTGATAATGTCAAAATGAATGACGAAATCGTTCATTTTATGATTAGAAGGAATAATTTCATTGAGAAATATTAATTGAATTTTTGTTTCTTTACATGTTCTTTGTTTGTTTCAAGTGTACAATAAAATTAAATTGTATTGAACACATAAAAATGTCAATATATTTCATCTGCATAAGTTCTTCCAGATATAGTATATATTTACTCTCTCATTTTTTCTTAAAAAATATACTAAAAATTTAAGTAATTATAAAACAGAATAGTCAAATCCAATATAGTTGTAATTATTAAAACTAGAATATTAAAACTAATACTTATTTTTAGTCAACAACAAACCATTGATTTATTATAAAATATTTTCATAACCTTTTTGACATTATAGTAATATTAATTTTACCACTAAGAAACTTTAACACCATTATATTAGAAGTTGTTGATACTATATTATTCTTTTATGTCACTCATATTAATTATCAACAATTGGTAAAAAATAAAATTTATGATTCATTTATTATTGAATTTTTCTTTACTGTTGTTGAATTATTTATTTTGTTATTAATAACTTCAGTAAATTAGTTATGAATAATGTTATGAACCGTTTTATTTCAATCATTATTGATACTTTTTACATTTGAATAATTTTCTTAATTTAAAAGATTTTGCTAAAGAAAAGTCATGAAATGTTTTTAATTTAAGAATAATTGTCATTATATATTTTGTTTTGTATTATTTTAAACAATATATGTTTTTACTATCGAATTAATTTTTAACTTGTTATGGTATTTTTGATACGTATTATTTTACTTCATTAAATTGAATTATATATTGTTTATATATTGTTATCTCATTTGATTACTAGTGATTTCTTAATTATGTTTTGTATATCTTTCTTACATATAATATTAATATCTTTGATTAGAGATATATCATAATAGAGTTATATTTGATATTGTTGTATATTTTCAATATTCTTATTCTTGTTTATCATGATTTTTGTATTTTTAGGTGAATCTATTAGTTTATTTTTATCTTATTAATTTACCACTCTTTTGAATATTTTTTCTTTTTTTTTACCAATGTGGTTTTCAATTGGTTACAACAACAGGTTTTTATTTTATGTTCAAATTATTTAGTATTATTTATAGTTCTTTCATTTTAAATAAACGTCTCTCATTCTCTTTTAAAGACTATCATCTAATTCAGTGAATATTTGTGATATTATTTCTAATATTAGTAATTTACTAAAATGGTTTTAACTACAATTTTTTAAACTCTAAATAGACTCTCATTAATACTTTTTGCATTATCTTATTATTTAATTATTTTTATTATTCTATTTGTTACAATAATATTATCTTGTTTATTATATAATTTTTACCTCACCATTATAACACATTATAGCAATTCATCAGTTTCTCTTCTTCCATTTTGTTCTATTTTTCAAAACCAGATAAATCTAAAGGATATAAATATTTGATTATAATAAACAATGGTAATGAGAAGTATCACTTATAGAATATTATTATTTATTTTTTCTTATAGTATATCCAATGGCTTTAAAAGTGAATGTAAATAAAATAAAATTATTAATAATGCCAAGCTATTTCAAATATGTTGCTAGAATTATAGCACAAATATAGATAATCAAAAACATATAAGAAAATATAATTTTTTTTGAGGTTTTCTAGATGAAGAAATATAGCAAATTTAATTTAATAACTCAAAAACCAACAGAATGATGAAGAGTTTATAGCTTTTTTATCTTGAACATATTTATTCTCATAACTTATGAATTGACACAAAATAATTTTTTATGTCCTTATTTATATAAAAGTATTATGAGTGATAATTAGGTTTATCTGAATTGTTATAATAATCAACAAGAATTGAACAAAAATTCCTATACCTTCTAATAGAGATGAATAGTTTTCATTATCAATTAAGGTTATAAAATACTCTAAAGTTGGTAGTGTTGACTGATGAGTAGTGAAGAAAATCTGTGCAGCTATATCCATTAAATTAAATTCAAATATTATTTATCTAGAATAAGAAGAAAATAATTTGACATAATGAATGTTATAACGTTTAATTAAGAAGCATGCTGATTCTTCTTATAAAGAATGTAAAAAGATATACACATACACCTTTTTTAATAATTTTAGATGTTTAAACAAATGAATACAAGAAGAAATCAATCAATTAATAAACAACAATCAAAGATAATACGGAACATCAGACTCACCATATTGTTTAGCAAGATAATACCGTTGAGTTGATGTAAAAGCTTGAAATTGTTCTTTTAACTTATTGTTTAAAATATTTTCATATTCTTCTCTAATACGTTGTTCATTGATTCTAATTGCTGTAAGGACTATGCCTTGAGTTTCTTCAGCTGTGAAAGATGTTTTACCACTCATTCGAATGAGTTCTTCAACTGACACTTCAACTCGAGGACAAGGTGAAGATCTTTTAAAAGAAGAATTTTCTGATTTAATAGGTCTTTTGCTTTGATAACTAATTTGATTTTCATTAACGATAAGATCATTTGTTGGGTCAAGTAAAGGACGTTTAGTAAGGGAAAAAGCCATGAAAATGAAATTGTTAGATAGAAGAAGGGTTTAAATACCATGTTTACATTATAATAAAATTTACTATTTAATATAAAATTTGTTTTTCAGTTTATTTTAAACAAAATGAAAAAAAGAAATTTGATTTTTTGTTTAAGTTATTTTAAGTAACTTTTCTTTCTATAATGAACCAATGATGTAACTATATAATGTGCTACAATTAAAAAAAGGTCTTTTTCACTAATTCTTTAAGTGTTTCCTTTTTGTTTTTGTATTACTGAGGAATCGAATTATTATTTTCTTCCCCTTCTTTTTTTTCTTCTTTTATAGATTCTTTTGTTTCTTCTTGTTGTTTTGTTGAACAAAAAATTTCAGAATGATGGACTGTGGCATAGTTAAAACAGAATGGACATCCTCTAAGTGCAGGTCCTAAACAAATAAAGATATTTGCTAAATTCATTTTATTAGTACTTGCGTGTTGAAGAACTTGACTTAACAATTTAGTTAAGTTTTCAATAAAGTCTTTAATGATTGGAGGTAATTTTGCAAATATTCTAAGATATTCTTCAAGTATTTGATCATCAGCCATTTCACTTTTTCCTATAGAATATGAGTCTCTTATATTTCTTAATATCATTATGTTACTACAAAGTAAAAAATAAAACAAAAAACAAACGTTTATATAAATCGAGAAATTCTCGGTCTATATCTGGGGAGATAACTTGACTAGGAAATTCTCTAATGTATTGTTTAAGTGTACTGGCTAATGAATAAATATCAAATGAACTAAAGAAATTTTTTTCATTACATTCAAGTTTAGTTTTAATTTTTTGAATAGTGTCTTGATTCCCACAAATACGGAATATTCCTTCAGTAGTTGAACCATTAACATAAAGGTATTGAATCAATTCCTTAATGGGAGGTGGAATTGTTTGAGTCTTAAACTTATTACCATAGTCTTCTAAAGTGATTCCAAAGAAAGCTATTTTTTCATTCTTAGTTTCTTCCTTTTTGTCTTTTTCTTCTTTATCTTTTCTACCGAAAATTGATCTTTTTTTAGTGTGTCTCTTCATTTCTTCATAATTTCCTGGTAATGAAGGTCTAATATGATTTGATGTATTAGATGTTTCGTTTTCTTTAATTTGACTTAATGATGGTCTAATACGTGGTGTTGGCATTATATCAACTTTGTCCAATCCACCAAGATTAGATGATGAACTTTCTTCATTGATAACTGTTCTAGGAATACTTTCTACCCAAATTGAAAGATTATTTAATTCGTGTTCCCACTGATCACACACTTCATTAGAATTAAATTTAACTTTCTATGACAATAAGTATGTTTATTTTTTTGTTATTATAAATTAAAGAACAAATCATTATTAAAAAGTAGAACAAACTGTTAATCCATTAATGATTAATGTAGTTTCACCTTCTTTTAAAACTGAAGGATTATTTAAATAAATAACTTCTTTGTATTGACTGTTTATAGAACTTATCACAAAAAAATTTGAACGTAATATAATTTTCTTTTGTTTAGGCTTAGAATCATCATATGAATAATCAACAACAGCACTAAGTGATTCTTGTGTAATTGAACTTGCAACTGTATCATACATTCGTAATATTTTTTTAGGACTCATTTCACTAAAGAATTGATTCATTTCAAATATATTTTCTTTCATAATTTCTTCTGTTTGTTTCATTGCATCAAAAGAAATTTGAAGACTTTGTTGAATAAGATCATCACTAAAACCAATAGTTGGTCTTCTACAACTCTCTAAAATTTCTATTTTTTTACCATATCTTTTATTACAATTTGTTAATAAAGCTCTGCGTTTTGCTGCCATTACCATAGCATGACTTGTTGTTACTCGTTGTGATGGTCTTTTTGTTTTTTCAAGAAAAGTAATGAGAGATTTTGTTTTATCATCCATTATATGATGACGGTGTGTAGGATCTCTTGGTGACAATAATCTAGGAGACTCCTCAGTACCTACTAATGACCCATTATTAGAAGATGGCTTTGGTGATTTTAAATCAGTCCCTTCATTTACATTGTCAGTAGAAAAAGATTTACGATGACTAGTTACAACAATAGATTCCATAATAAGATGATAATTTTAAGTTCATTTATAACATTGTTTTTTTATTAATTTATTCTTTTTGTTTTTTTCTGTTTTTCTTATTTATTTTTAAAATTTTTATTATATTTTATAGTTTTTATAGTTTTTTGATAGTATATATTTATTATCTAAACATTTTCTATTTTTATCTCATGACATAAAAATGAGAGATTTAATAACTACTAAATTTGTATCTTAGCATTTTCATCTCTAAGTTAAAAAATAAACTTACTTATGGGTACAAATCAATAACTAATTAAAAAGTAATTATCTAAAGATAGAAAAATAATTTTCCAAATAAAATACATTACTACATCACTTCTCTAAAAGAATAAAAAGTTTCTTAACAAATAAACAGAGTTTTTTTTAAAAAATGCACGGAATATTTATTGTTTATTTTCATTTAGTTTAAATTCTCAAAATAAAATCTTTTTAACGCTTGTTGATAATTATTTACTCGTTTTTATTCTTTTGATAAGTTTTATTAAAAAAGTCATTTTTAAAATTTGTTTGCTATTTCTAAATTTTTTTTATTCGTTTAATTCTTCCAAAATGAAAAACAAAAATAAAATAAAACATAATGTAATATAATATTTGTAATATATAACAAAAATAAAAGTAAATAAACAAAAATCTTTTTTTATAAAAATTTTAAGAAATAAAACTATAAAGAAATAGTTAAATACATCAGAAGAAAATGACCATTCGAGATTTTGTTCTTTCTGATGCACAACCATTTGAACAATATGGATTCTTTCTAGTTTATATAATAGGTTTATTATACTCTGGATATGGATTTTATATTGTAGTTGAATATTATCTTATACCAGCATGTAATAATTGTAGTAAAGTAGTTACACGAATTATCAAAAACCATTTTTTAGCTAACCTCATAATGATTACGGCTTCTTGTATGCCAGAATTTTTTGTAGGATTAATTGGGTATGCTTTATTAGGTGATATGATTTTCCCAGCATCTATCATTTTTGGATGTACATTAGTCAATTCTGTATTACTAACTGGATTAGGGTCATTTATTTCATTAGATAATGTGGTAGTAACTAAAACAGCGTTTGTAAGAGATGCAACATTCTTTATTGTATCTGTAATTATTATTTACTTTTTCTCATCACCTTTTACATTAGAACGATTACAAGATACATCAGAAGCACCTGCAACAACATACTTATTGATATTATTATGGATTTCTTTCTTTATTTACATTATGTATATTATTGCATTAACAATGATGTCATTCTTTAGTAAAAAACGTGTTTATGATCATCATTTTGGATTTTTTGGAAATTTATTAAATCGTCATAGTGAACAAACTCAATTATCAATAACACTTAATACTGAAGATGTTCCTATTATTCTCCACGATGATACTGTCGTACAACTTCATAGTGGTTTATTATTTGTAAAATCTCCATATTACACAAATATTACTTTCTCTTCTTTACAATGGAAACAACATTGGTGTGATCTTTTTAGAGATGAAATGGTTATACATAAAGATGCTAATCCATTATCTCCAATATTCCAAACTATCCCAATTTCTTCTATTAGTAAAGTTACATGTGATACTATGGATCCATCAATCTTTATTCTTTCTATGTGGAATGGAAGTCATACTGTTAAATATACAATGAGAAGTAATCAACGACAATCTTGGGTGTCATATTTTGAAGTATTATTGCAAGAAAATAATACATTAGTTAAATCAAATAAAAAGCAATCTTTCTTTGAAATTATGCAACGTAAATTTACTTGTAAAGCAACAATGTCTGATAGTCAAACTTTTCTTAATCTTCCAAGAAATCTTCCACAACGAATTGTTTATGTTTTTAATTGGCCTTTATTAGTAATTTTAGCTTATACTATTCCTGATGTTAAAATTAAAACTTGTGCTCGAATGACACCAGTTACAATTTTAATTTCTTTATTGTATATTGGTGTTTTTGCTTTTGTTGGAGTATTTTGTGGTTATCGTTTAAGTGAAGTAATTACTTGTCCACCAGATGTTTTAGGATTTACATTTGTAGCACTCTTCTTATCAATTCGTCATATTATATCTGGTTGGGTTAGTGGAAGAATGATGTGTGCTAACTTAGCTATTCTCAATTCTTATTCTATGTCATTATTCTTTACAAATGTTGCCATTGTCATTCCATGGATGATTTATTATTACGCTAAAATCGTTCATAATGATAATACTATTTACGAACAAAACCATTTTACTTCATATTCTCTTGAATTTGTAGTCGCAGGAGAAATTTTCGTTTCAATTTGTCATTTGTTCTCAACTATTGGGTTCAAAAATCTTACCATCAGTCATGCATTTGGTATTTTCTTAGTTCTTTGTTATATTATTGTTTTCACTGCTACGTTAATGACTTGGATTGGTGCTGCTGTTAAAAATTGAAATGTTAGTTCATTCTTCTCTTTAATTCTTTCATAAAATACATCTTAAAAGTATTTTTTTTTATGTGTTAACAGTAGAAGACATAATTTTAGGGGTGAGAATATTTCGAGATTAATTAAATGAAAAAAAAACATCATAATAATAAACAGAATAAATTAACATTCTAAAGAATAAAACAAGTAAATTAATTATTCTTAACAAAGAGTAAATACCACCATTTCATAACTTATATTAATTAATCTAATAAATCTTTAAAAACTTTAATTCATAAAAAGTAATGAATATTGAAATTAATAATCATTTATTAATTTAATAAAATAAAGATAATTAAATTTTTTCCAAATTAAAAAAAAATAATAATAAAATTATTATTAATATCAAATTTTTATTTTTAATACTCTTCATTTTGAATTAACTCAAACTGAAAAGGATATAACCAAGAAGAAAAGCTGGGTGTGATAGAGTTTATT